GACTGCTGGTGGCTCTTTCAGGCTCCCTCCCCAGCTTCCGGGCTCTTCCTGCCCAGGTGGTCTGCAGGGTTTGGGGCCCTCTAGCCCACCCCACAGGGCCTGGTCATGCGGGGAGGGCCCTGAGCCCTGGGTTCCAGCCTTGGCCGGCCTTCAGACTCTCCGAGTCAATCCTTGGACTTTCGTTTCTGGCCCCAGTGTCCTCTGAACGCAGAGGGTGTTGGGCTCGGCTGTCCTGCCCCACCTTGGAGGTCAGAGCGCCCAGCAGGGGCGACTGGGGAAGGCCCTGCTCAGGTGGAGGCAGAGCTGCCCGCTGGCCCGGCAGCACTGCAGGGCCTGAGCCCAGCTGCCCGGCCTGCCGCCCGCAGCTTCGAGCAGCTCTGCATCAACTTCGCCAACGAGCACCTGCAGCAGTTCTTCGTGCGACACGTGTTCAAGCTGGAGCAGGAGGAGTACGACTTGGAGAGCATCGACTGGCTGCACATCGAGTTCACCGACAACCAGGACGCCCTGGACATGATCGCCGGCCGGCCCATGAACATCATCTCCCTCATCGACGAGGAGAGCAAGTTCCCCAAGGTGGGCACCGCCGGCCTCCGCGGCCTCCGCCAGCCTCCACCGGCCTCCGCCGGCCTCCACCTCCGCCCACGCCGGCCTCTGCTGCTTCATCCGCAAGACGGGACGGATGATGCCAGCAACTCGGGGGCTCTGGGACTGGTTCCAGTGCGTTCATGTGACACTGGGGTCCTGGGCAGATGAGTGTGGATCTGGGTGCAAGCTGGCCCCGAGTAGGGGCTTGAGGTGTGGACGGACTGGACTGAGGCACAGCTGATAAACACAGTCCGTGCACACGGGGCTGGCTGGGGCGGGGTAGGTCATGCAGGAAGTTAAAAATGCGGGCTAGGTCTTGCAGCGGCGCGGCGGCTGGGGGATCGCTCCAGCGATCAGTCTCGGGAAGTAGGTGTCCTAAACTGGAAGGTACTGTCCAGGCTGGCATGCAGATCACCCATTCTCAAAGGAAATGACGCCCAGGGAGCTCCTGTGTGGGCGACAAATAAAAGGAGGGGAGCCATTGAGAAAGAAGGGGTGCAAGGGCCTGGTGGGAGCAGGCGGGCAGGGCCGGGTGCAGTGGCAGCTGTGCCTCCCCCTGCAGGGCACGGACACCACCATGCTGCACAAGCTGAACTCCCAGCACAAGCTCAACGCCAACTACGTTCCCCCCAAGAACAACCACGAGACCCAGTTTGGGATCAACCACTTCGCGGGCGTTGTCTACTATGAGACCCAAGGTACAGCAGGCTGCCGGGCTGCCGTCCCCCAGGCTTCTGCCTCCCGCTTCCCCAGCGCCGGAGAGCACATACAGGGGCCTGGAATAGAGGAAGGGACCTTGGGGAAAAGGCTCCGTGTGTGTGTCTGTGTATGACTCTGGATTCAGCTGAAAAATGGGGTAAAATATATCTAATATGAAATCTGCCATTGTGACTATTTTCCAGTCTGCAATTCGGTGGTGGCGCGTGCATTCTCAACGTCACACCATCGTCCCCAGTGTCTATTTCCAGGGCCTTTTCTTCACCACCGCTCCCCCTTTTGCCCACCCCCAACCTCTCATAACTCCAAGTCTGCTTTCTGTCTTTATAAATGTGACAGTTTTAGGTGCCTGAGTAGTGGGAGCACACTCCGTTTGTCCTTTGCGTCTGGCTTCTTTCACTAAGCACGGTATCTCCAAGGCCCGTCCAGCTCAGGACATGTAGCACTCGCCTTTTTTTTTCTTCCAATTTTGACTATATAGAGAGCACATGTACTCGCCAGAGAGAGAGAGAGAGAGAGAGAGTGCCCCCCAGAGGCATGGCCACGTCACTATCCCTTCTCCATTCTTCGGTTGGGATTTGGGCACACACGCGTATGTACCCAGTGAATTTTTCAAGTTGCCAGGTCTGGGACTTGAACCGCGCAGTCAGCCATATGGGATCCAGCTACCTTAACCACCATGCCACCCTCTGGCCCATTTCCTTTATTTTTATAGCTCAATAATATCCCATTGTATGGAGATACGGGCTAAGCATCCCTAATCCAAAAATGCAAAGTTCAAGATGCTTCGAAATTCGGGGCTGGCAGGTAGCATGTTCAGGGCCCTGGACTCCCACATGGCCGATCGCAGTTCCAGTCTGGACCTGACAGCTTGCTTTTTCACTTTCTCTCTGTCTCTTTCAAGTAAATAAATTTAAATAAAATAACTCTTTTAAAAAAAAGATGCTCCAGAGTCCCAAACCTGGTGAGCAGCAGTGTGATACCACAGGTGGGAGACTCCACACCTGACCTCGTGTGACAGGTTACAGTCAGAACACGGGCGCGTGGTACACCATGTACTCAGTGTCCCCGGGAGGAGAGACCCTCCCCCTCCCCCTGCACTGGAGCTTTTCTGCGTGTGCCTGATTCTCCTGTGCAAGCACGCCGTGAGGGTGGTAACACGCTGGGGAGTAAAGCCACTGCTTACTGGGGACGTAGAAATCCAGTCGGGCGTGATGCGGGTGGCCCGTGCTGGGTCGCCACGGATGTGGCCGAGATGTGACACCTTCCTTCCTGAGGACTCAGTGTGCACGAACTGTTTCATGGACAAAATTATTCCACAGTGTGTAAAATGACCCCCAGAAACCACCGTTCCTGTGGGCACCCCATCTTCTGTCCTACCGTCTTGTCTATAGCCTTTTGTTTTCTTTCTTCTAATGGGAATTGTGGTTTGGGAATGTCCTCTTTCAAGATTTCACCATTCTGGATTTTAATCTTTTGGGATTATGACTTTTGAGATTTAGATATTAGGGATTTAAGACTTCAGGGATTTCGACCCTTCGGGAGTCTGTGTTCAGGTCGATGACGTCAGGGTTGTGTCTTTGGGATTACGATGAGCCCTGTTTAACAAAGGCCTTTGATACCTTAGTTCAAGAGGCTCGTGGCGGCTTTGGGTGGTCGTCAGGAAGGTGGCCCTGTTCCTTCCCAGAGACCAAGACTTCTGGCCCTGGAGCAGGGAGTCTGGTTGGGAGACGCCCCTCACTTCCTCTGGGTTCTCCACGAGCATGTCCTCTCCAGGCCTCAGTGCCCCCCATGGAAGGGTGCAAGTGTCTAGGTAAACCCTAAGGACCCGGCTCAGACCTGAGCTTGGAGAGGGCCAGCGTCTCATCAGTGGGGCTGCGGAGCTGGCGGGTGCAACCCCCTCTGTCACCACCCAGGTTTCCTGGAGAAGAACCGGGACACGCTGCATGGGGACATCATCCAGCTGGTCCACTCCTCCCGGAACAAGTTCATCAAGCAGATCTTCCAGGCCGACGTCGCCATGGTAAGGCTGGTGGGAAAGGCCCCAGGAGTTGGGTCTGGCCTGGTCTCGCCCTTGTCCAACACTTCAGCCGAGCTGGCCTGGCCACAGGACAGGGACCGACGGGAGCTGCTGTGGCTCCGGGTGGGACCTGGTGGGGCCTCTCAGACCCTCCCACCTGGCCCTCTAATTGTAGTGACTGGGGCTGGGGCACAGGCCGTAGAGGGTGGCATGAGGTCACGGAGCAGAACCTGAGCAGGACTGGGTTTTGCACGGGGTCCCTGGACCTCCACAGTGAATAGGAGCAGGTGCAGGCAAAAGGAGTGTGCGCAGCCTCGAGGCTACAGGAGGAGTGGGCACACTGCACCAGCCCGGGCCACGTGCTTGCTGGAGCCCCTCCCACTCACCGCCAGCCCTGGGGTGGCAGCCACGCCGTTCCTCCTGCAGGGTTGCTCGCCCCTTCATTTCCTATTCCCCTCCTGCTCCGTGGCCTCCTGGAGGGCATGTGCCAGGCTCCCAGGGAGGGCAGAGTCAGCCCTTCGGAGCCGCCAGGACCCCAGGTCTCTACCCAGGGCCCTCCTCTCTCCCTCCCTTCCTCTGGGCTAGACTCGCCTCTGTCGGCTGCCCACAGCTCGCGCCACCCTCCCTGCCTCACCCTGCACTGTGGTTCCCCTTGTAGTTTCTCTGTGGTTACTCATCGGGCACTCTCCACCGGCCAGCAGCTTCTGCAAAGGTAAAAGGCCCCGGCCTGGCACCAGGAATAGCAGGAGGGGCTGCGGCCCCACGGTGTGCAGGCTTGGGGAGAAGGCTGGGCTTTGCCTATCTTTGAAGTGTGGCTTTTGTGGAGTGTTTCATGGAGTGGCTTTTGCTTTGGTGTTGTGAGTTGCGTGTGCTGCAGGCATCTCTGTTTCATAAGGAGGAAACCAGGCCTCAAAGAGGGCCGAAGAGGGGCAAGACTCTCCCAGGGGACTGTGTGAACCAGGGCAGGTCTGGGACTCAAAACCAGGTCGCACTGCCCTGTGCCCTGCCGGTCTCCGAGTTCGCACTGCTGTCAGCTGTAGTGAGCACAGCAGCGTTCAGGACTCCGTCCAGGTCAGCCCCTGTGCTTGCCACATCTTGCAGAAGGGGGCTGAGCTCCGAGGTGTGACACGGTCTGAGTTACGGTGATCTGACGGGAGCTGGGACTCGGCGTCCTCAGTCCTGGACCTCCTTAGCCTGGGCAACGTCCCTGTCTTCCTTCAGGTCCTGGTTCCTGAGGGACTTTCGAATCTGGGGTGCCAGGTTCCCTGAGCAACAGCCTAGCAGGCACCCCTTTGCCCTTCCACCCTCCCTCACTTTCCTGCCCCCGGCTTCCCTCCTGCCACAGCCCCTGCCCATCCAGTGCCTCCCCTCACAGGAAGCCACCCCAACCCCCACAGTGGGGTAGGTCGCCGGCTAGCAGGAGCAGGGAGCTGCTGTGGACGGGGCCTCTCCTGTCCACCTGTGGATCAGCCTGTCCCCCTCATACACGCACATGAACACACGTACACATGCCCACGTCGACACCGTGGCCCCGTGGCTGAGGGATATAGGTGCTCAGAGCTGCAGCGCCCAGGGCTCCCAGCCCGAGGCCCACACAGGGGGCAAAGGCAGGCGAGCTCCGGGCTCTCGGCCACTCTCCCCTCCTCTCCTCAGTCCCTCCTGGACCCC